GACGGTGTCTGCCTCCGCGCACAAAAAATGAGATGGGCATCGCTGCCTACGCCGACGGCCAGAGGCCCGCGCATCTACATTTTTTCGCCTGACCCCATCAGTGCCGACCCAACTACACCACCACGCGCATGCCTCGCGGCGGATATGCGCAGCAGCAAGAAGGTTTCGGTCATCCCTTGAGGGTGAGTCTAGCCCTGCTCGCCAGAAAGGCTCCCCCCTTCGCTACAACCCATGTCTAAGCACAAGCTTGTCGAGGAGCGAGGGGAAGAAGAGTAGATGCAAGGAATTCGATCTTTTCTGCGGTCTTTGAGGGCAAAGCGAAAGATCAAATTCCTAAAGATCCCGCGGTCTTCGGCGCTCGGGTGGATAAAAAAGATCGAAATCAAATCGAATTCCGATGTTCGCAAACACCCTAATGTGTGGAAAATCCATAAAATTAGATGATGGGCACGAATTGGGATCAGCACTACAGCGCGAGTTGTGGCAGAATAACCAAAAACACTGCGCGGAGAGACTGCTTCCCGATTGCACGAATTGGGATCAGCACTACAGCGCGAGTTGTGGCAGAATAACCAAAAACACTGCGCGGAGAGACTGCTTCCCGATATGATTCCAGGATTCGTCATGTCTGCATAAAAAAAATATATGGAATTTTCCAGGGTAGTCCTCGGTACCAGTTTTTTTGACGGTACCAAACGGGACAGTAATGCAAAATGACGGTACTTTTTTGACGGTTGACGGTACTTCGTTTTTTGACGGTACCACTTTTGGCGGTCCACGGTACCGCCGAATTTGCCGGTACTTTTTCGACGGTATTGAAAAATGACGGTACTTTTTTCGCGGTTGACGGTATTTCGTTTTTTGACGGTACTTTTTTGACGGTTGACGGTACTTCGTTTTTTGACGGTACTTTTTTGACGGTATTGAAAAATGACGGTACTTTTTTGACGGTACCGAAATATGACGGTACTTTTTTCGCGGTTGACGGTATTTCGTTTTTTGACGGTACTCGTTCGCCGGTACTCCAAATTGACGGTACTTTTGGCGGTTGACGGTATTTCGTCGTGCCGGGCGGTGATGAAGTTGTTGTTGTTGTTGTTGTTTCTCACATTAGCTCTAAAAAAGAAAGATTGGGAGCCCGTGGTCTCAAAACCCGGCATACACGACCCCACGAAGAAACAGAAAAAAATAGGGTACAAAAAAGGTGATGAAGTATCCCGGCACCGCCCCTGTGATTACGTGATTTCCTGAATAGACACAAACACACCACGTTCTTCCCGTTGATGGACGGGCTGGATCTACTCGCAAAGTTTCACGTCCAAGATGTCAACCTCCTTTTGCCCTCCATAGGCTCTTCGAGTGTGACTTTCACGGTTTTGCCTTTCCCAACGTCGATCGAGGCTTCACTCTCGGGTGGGACTTGCAACACTGGCACGCTCGGAACCACCGATTCACTTCCATCCCCATCCACCGAATCGCCAGCAGCAGCACCAGCAGCCTCGACACTGCTGCTGCTAGTACCACCGGCATTCCCCTGTACAGCTGCCATCTTTCTGGTTCTGCTGGACCGCACACACTCTTTGGACCGCGGGTGGGGTCTGTGTGGCTGGAGGCCGCTCTTCTCTTGCGCGACCATCAACCTCATCAACTTCCAAGTCAAAACCAAGAAAAAGGTTCTACCCAAACGTAACAAAGCAGCCCGATAGAACCATCAACAAGAAAAAAAAAGACGAAGAAAAAAAAAACAGCTGAAAAACAAAAAAAATACGTACACACGTGAGTTCGAACTCAAGTTCCTATCCGCAGCAGGTCAACAGGGCAAACATATGCCAGCTGGCAATGCCTCACGATCGACGATACTTCGTTTTTTGACGGTACTTCGTTTTTTGACGGTACTTTGGCGGATGACGGTACTTCGTTTTTTGACGGTACTTTTTTTACGGTTGACGGTACTTCGTTTTTTGACGGTACTTTGTTGACGGTAACGCAATGTCACGGTACATTTTTGACGGTACCGAAATATGACGGTACTTTTTTGGCGGTTGACGGTACTTCGATTTTTGACGGTACCGCCGAATATGACGGTATTCCGCGGAGTACCGTATCCGACCTACACGACGAGAAAAAAACGTCGGGAATTTTCCCGAGGGCTACCCTGAATTTTTTCCATAGGCGGGAACACCTGAGTTGTAACTTTGGTTGGAAGAGAAGAAGAGTGACACAGCAGCAGCGGCGCATACAGCGGGAGTGGCGGGCAGAAGGAAGCAGCAGCGAGCAGCGGGAGCAATCCAAAGATCGAGACAATATCGCCCCCAACAGAACCCAATAAGCTCTTGTAGCCCCGCACCTCTCCCACGTTCTTATTCCCCAAGACCGACGACGTCACGTGAAGGTGGGCGGTGTAACCAGTTGGGGAACCTTTTTCTGACGTGAAGTGTTGATCGTTTGTTCTACTGTTAATACCCCAGGGGAGCCTCTCGGACAAGTAGTCTAGGCACATGGGGCAAGCCTCAGCAGGCACAGTATGCATAGAGACATTGGAACTCACGTTGCAAGCCATGTCAAGGGTGCGATGTGGGTGCGACCTGGCCAAGCAAGCTCGGTGCTTTCGCCGCCCCACCGCTCTATTGGCGCACCACGCCTTCGCCTGCGTGTACATGTACAGAACCGGCCCGCACTTAAGAACCTCTTAATTGGAGCGAGGCTTGCTTCTTGTTGGCTGCCCCAAGCCGAGCACAAGTTCTTATTTGCCAGGGTCTTATTTCGTCGTCCAGTTGTCTCCAGAAACGGTGTTCTTGTTNCACTCGACGCAGAGTTTCATACCCGCAAACACCCCCCCATGGGGCAACTGTCAACCGTCTTGGTCCACAAGAGTGACGTTGGGGGTGCGTACCCTTCCCACCCTACTGACGCTCTCAAGCAAAACCCATGAGCCCACCGCCGCGTCCGGATCTCCGCTGTACTTGTCTAAGGAAGAGCAGCTTCATATTGCGCGTACTGTGGTCTACTTCCAGCTGCACACAGTAGTCGTACAGGTGGCGCTGCGGAGATTGCTGAATGATCAACCCACTAAACCACCCCATGCCCAGCCGAGCAAGCACTCCACGTTGCAAAAGCAATCTGTCAAGAGCAGCGGGGGTAGATTCTTGAAGGCGAAAGCCCGCCGGGATCTCCATTCCCTGCGTCTCGTCCTCCGGGTCGTCTGGGTCCATGCTGTCGTCCTCGTCCAAAAGAGCTAGCTCGTCGGTCTGGGATTGAGACATGTCTGCGACGAAGGGCACCGTGAACCACGAGAAGCAACGTACGGGTGTCATCGCCGTTACTCAACTGAAGTGAACACACCATTTGTTCGTAGACGTGACGCGGAAACAGAATGTCAGCAATAATATCCCAAACAGCACAAGAAAAGATGAACAAAAAGGACAATGAATTAACTGTAGTCTATGTAGTGCCAATCAAACTTACTGTCGTAGGCGCCGCTCCGGGGCCGGAGGTGGGAAGTTGATACCGGACACATGCTCTGTGACACCACCGCGAGTCCGCTCAATCTGCACGGCGCGGTACGAGAAGGGCGGAATTGAGGTGCAGGTGATTCAACGAGCTGTAGACCTGAAATTGCGTGGATGTCGATGGCAAAATATATCTATCGATGCAGATTGGGCGGGGGATGAATACATGACCGTCTCTCGTGTGTTTGTATCACGGTGCAGCAAATTTTTGTTTATAAAATACGGTTGGGACGGCGCTCGTGTACGCGTTCTTTTTCGCCATTGTGTCTACTGTACCGTCCTTGCCTTCCTCAAGAACTTGAGGCAAACGGAGAATGTTTGAAAAAGTTGTACACATACATACATGTACGCCATGCTGAAAGTCAGTCGTTTACACCAACCTGTGACAGTAGTTTTTCTCTCGTCTTGTTCATTTCATCACCACCGCGTTTTTTCTTAAACAACAGCAGCAGCAGTAGCACTCCTTGCTGTATTTACACTACATACAGCTGCTGGACCGCCGTACGACTGCTGTATATATGTACATCATC